TCTGAATGCCGCCATTTTTTGTGTGTAATCATGTTGTGAATTTTGAGGAATGATTATATCTGTTTATGTAGGCTTTCTGTATATATTGTATTTTATTTTGTTTTTTGTTTTTTCTATTGTCACATCCAGGAAATTAATTTTGTTGTTTTCTTCTATTTCTACTGTAAATTGTATGTTTTTATGTAATGTATTTAGGTAGGTGTGTNGAGTCGTTGGAGCACCTACTGAGGGAGTGTGACGAGCTAAGAGAGGAGGTGAGCGGCTGGAAGCAGGTGCTGGGGGAGAGGGCAGAGGGAAGAGAATGGATGAGGGAGGTGGTGGCAACAAGGCAGCGTAGCGAGATGCGGGGAGGAGATGGGGAGGGGTGGGATAGGAAATAAAATGTATTGTATTGTAATGTGATATAGGTATGTAATTGTAGTATTGTTAAAATTTAATTGTTTGTGGAATGTAATGCTGATTTTGTAGCAATAAACTTAATTATTAGAACAAATCATCATCCTCAATTCTGAATATCTCATGTAAATTCAGTTAATCGGTTCCGCTTTCAAGCACAAATATAAAAACGAATATTAGTGTAGCCGTTAGTTATTAATAAATAACTNTATTTTATTTTGTTTTTTGTTTTTTCTATTGTCACATCCAGGAAATTAATTTTGTTGTTTTCTTCTATTTCTACTGTAAATTGTATGTTTTTATGCAATGTATTTAGATAGGTGTGAAGATTGTCGATGTTGTTGTTGTTTTTTGTATTAATAAATACGATAATGTCGTCAACATATCGTTGCCATAAAATTATATTTTTCTTAAATGGATTGTTGTCATTCATAATTTTGTTATTCTCAATGTTATTTAAAAAAATATCTGCTAACAATCCACTAAGTGGCGAGCCGATTGGGAGACCTTCATTGTAGCAATAACATTGGTTATTAATTATGCAAAAATTCTGTTTAATGCATAGGTCGAATAGGTTGTATATGTTTTTGCTGTCTTCTTTATTTTCTATCTTTTCATCCAAAATGGTTTTCACTATTTCCAAGCCAACTTTGGAAGATAACAATAGATCGTTGAAAGTTGTTGAGGGGGCAATGATGTATTTAGGGATACTGGAGTTATCATTGAATAATAGCAAACTCTATAATTATATACATATCTCCCACGTGTTAGGAATTATGTTGGAAGATGTTAAAGCAGNCTTTTATTAAAAAATGGATTATTTGTTTTTAATTCTACCGGTTTCGGTTCAATAGTAGAACCATCCTCAGGACCCTCGAATTACCTATTATAAAAAGATGCAGTTTGTTTTACACAATTTTGCTAAAAAATCTATTACAAATTAAAAATGTTTTATGTATTGAATTGGTAATCTATGTAAATTATATTATATGTTAAAAAGCGAAAGACTTACGTCAGTTTATTTTTAAAAAATCTCTTGCGATAGTTAACATGTTAAAAATTTTTCTTCAATTCACAAGAACTTGTGTTTTTTTACTTGTAGGGTATTAGCTGTTAAGTTCAAAATTAGTTTGATAGGAATATGTGTGCACGTGTTTTTCATTCTTGTTTGTGGTTAGAATGTGTGTTTGCAGGTTGCCTATATTACAATTATAAATTTTAAATTTAGAGAACATATTATTTTTATAATCTAAATCTAGGAGTGAAATTATTTGGACTATTTCATTCATATCGTTAACAGCCAATAAGAATTCGCGGTTTTCCGTCAATTGCGAGTATTTCAGCGGTTATTTGGCCGTAACCATGGAGAACGATAATACGAACCTTTGTATTATCGCTGTAATACGAACCTTTGTATTATCGCTTGTTTGACATTTAATTAATTTCGAGACATCCATGCATGTTTCCATAACAATCAATGTAATTTATTAAAAAAATATTAAAATTCTAAAAATATGTATATTTTTTATTCATGAAATAGTCTAGCCATATACAACACGACAATCGAAAATACTCGAATCTCGACGTATTGCCTTAAAAAACACCACTCGACCTTCGGTCTCGTGGTGTTTCAGGCAATACGTCTCGTATTATCGAGTATTTTCGATCGTCTTGTTGTATAATATATGANTAAAATTTAACTCAGATATAGCATTATTTTCTGATGTTGCGAAACGCCATGAACTTGTGCTAAATCCATTTAAGTCTTCTGTTCTTCTGTTTTGCGGTAGTGTCACAAGGAGAGCGATTAAGCCTTTGATATCCGGTCAATTGGTGGTGGATGGCGAACCTCTTACTGTTTCTGATGATATAAAAATTTTAGGAGTCACATTGGATCATCAGTTGAGGTTTGAGGAGCATGTGGCCAGGTGCTTGAGGGGTGGGTATGGCGCCCTGCGTCTCTTGTATGCCCATAGGGATGTCTTAAGTAAAAAATTAAAAATTATGCTGTGTGATAGCTTGGTTCTAAGCAAATTAAATCACTGCGACGTTGTTTATGGTCCAAATTTAACGGAGGCGAGTGGGCGTCGTATCCAGAACCTCCAGAACGGTTGTCTGAGGTTTATTTACGGAATTCGTAAATATGACCATATTAGTCATAAGTTGGCAGAGACTGGGTGGTTGAACATGAAGAACAGACGTAAACTGCATGCAACTTGCGTTTATTATAAAATTATTAAAAGTCAGCGGCCTCCTTACTTGCTGCAACGCCTATTTTTCAGAAACGATGTCCATAACATTAATATAAGGAGGAAAGATGTATTGACGGTACCACGCCGCGCCTCGCACCGATCCTTTTCCTACCAGATAGCTAAAACGTACAATGATCTACCGATGAACCTTATAGGATTGAACTGTATTTCGTTCAAGAGTAAATTAAAATCCTCCCTCCTGCTTGAGTCATCATGATTTTTTTTTTTTTATTTTATATTTTCTATATATTCTGGATTAAGTGGAAGAGCAGTTGGTTAATAACCAAACTGAACTTCGTCCAGAAAATAAGTCTATTTTCTAAGAGTGTATTATTATTTTCTTTCCTTTTTTTTGCTTTCAGCAAGTGTAATGCTTGCTGTTTCAAAGTGCCAAGGATATTTGATGAATAAGAATAATCGCAATTACACTTCACAATTATTACAATTATTACGGCATAATGTCCCCTCATCAGCATCATCAAGTATGATTTTTCAGCCGCTATCTCCATCCTCGCATCCAACACCCACTCCCGTATTCTCCCAGCACTTGCGTGCCCCTTTTGTCCAACATTAACAAATCATCATCCGCAATTCTGAATATCTCATGTAAATTCAGTTAATCGGTTCCACTTTCAATCACAAATATAAAAACCAATATTAGTGTAGCCGTTAGTTATTAACAAATAACTGTATATTATGATTTTATTGATTAAATAACCTAAGATTTGAGTCGTTTCCAGGAAAACATTCGGCAATGTTAATTATGTTGAGAAGATGTTGATGGGACCGAGCCAACTTTGGAAGATAACAATAGATCGTTGAAAGTTGTTGAGGGGGCAATGATGTATTTAGGGATACTGGAGATATCATTGAATAATATCAGACTCTATAATTATATACATATCTCCCACGTGTTAGGAATTATGTTGGAAGATGTTAAAGCAGCTGATGTGAATTGCTGTATGCTATTTTTGTCGAAGGTCAAACCCTATTGAATCATATCAGAAACGATGAATATAGAGAGATTACAACAAAAAACTGTTGTTAAGAACTTACATTCCCTTTGATGGAAATTAATTATAATATAATACCACTATTTTAAGGTTATAACAATTGCTAAACTTTTCCAAGTCGCCTCCCAGCCGGGAGTCTACTTGTAAATTTCTAATTTTCTCTAAACAATTTTAAAAAATTCTCTTCCAAATATGTACTTTTGTATTGCAACACTCAATAAGTAGTGAATTAATACAATTGAACTAGGACGGAAACACTGATAATTTATTTAATTATGTTTATGTTTATTTTTTAAATACAAATTTATAAATGGTTAGTAACAAATAATAATAATAAAATTCTACATAATGTCAATCACAATTTTCTTATCATTAGAGTAATATCGTCACTTCATGTACGTAAAATATTTAAAACCCCACGGAGATATATGGAGTGTGTTTAATAATAAATTATAAAAAAGAAATTCAATTACTCATATTTTATGTAGACAATCTTGATATGCAAATATCCATTGAGTCAGGATCGTTGTCGGATGCTGGATGCTATCTTATCACGCATATTGGAGATAACAGATAATTCAATAATAAACTGTAGATTATAGCGTTAATTCGAAGTAAAACATATATTTTTTGCTGATTTTTTTTGAATAAATTGGTGTAAATACACAATCACCTTGAATATTCGTTTAAATTTTTACATTAAAATTTAAAAATGAGGGTCATTGCAACTTTTTCAATTCTTTTCTTCCATATTAACCACTTATTTGGTTCAAAAAGCGTTTCTTCAGGTTCTAGTGATGTAACTATGGTGAGTGCCCTCTTATTAATTAAACTAAAACCAGAACTAACACTAACACTATCACTAGAACTAAAAAGTGACTTGGAACTTGTTTCTGAAGAAGACTGCAACATGGCATCTGCCGAACACTTCTTTAAAAGACGCACGGCTTAACCCGAGTTGTAGATCTAGTGTTAGTTCTAGTTTTAGTTTAATTATTACAGGCTTTGAAAGTCTTCGTACTTATGTCCTTTTATTATTTTTTTTTATTTTTTTTATTTTGTCATTGTTTCAATAATTATCTAATAATAAATGTATCTGTTTAGATTCACCCTTCTCAATATGGATATATTCATAGTCGGAATTTCATGAATTCTAGTAAGTTATATGACGAATCCGTATTAAAACCAATCATATTAAGCATATTATAGGTCTTACGATAAAGATTTGGCCAGCTTTTATAAGAGGTATGTGTGGAACTCATTTTACCCATCTCTCCTATTGTGGGACATATTCAAATAACTTTATAGCATTTATTTATTGTTTACAGTAACAGATAATATGAATGAATCACCTCAAGCTATAAAAAAATTACCTAGATGCGGGTCCAATAATTCACGATTGAAAAGATATGCTCTTGAAGGTAATATTAATTTAATTTCTATCAATTAAATCCACAATTTCAATTTGTGTTAGGAAGCATGTGGAACAAGACAGATTTAACTTATAGAATATCAAAATATTCATCAAAACTTAGTATAAATGATGTGGAGTACGAATTAGATAGGGCATTTGCTGTTTGGTCCGAATATACAGATCTGACATTTAAGCAAATAAGAATTGGCCCGGTCAACATTGAGATCAGATTCGAGGAGGGAGATCATGGTGATGGCGCTCCTTTCGACGGTCCTGGAGCAACCCTGGCTCACTCCTACTTTCCAGTAAACAGCAAACAATCTTTTTATGAACTTAAACAAAAATAAATTTGTTTTTAATATCCAGAAATTTGGAGGTGGTATTCACTTTGATGATTCTGAAAGTTGGACCGTAAACACATACAGCGGGTACAATTTCTTTCAAGTAGCGGTCCACCAAATCGGGCATAATTTAGGTTTAATTCACTCGGATGTAAAAGAAGCTGTAATGTATCCGTTTTATCAAGCTTATCAACCTTATTTCAAGTTACATTCGGACGATATCAATGGCATACAAAGACTATATGGGAAGAAAACAATCGGGACCACTACGCTTCAGGCCGCCAAAAACAACGATGAAGAAATATCGTCGAATACTTCTTCCGAAGAACAATCTGCAGATACAACGCCTTTGAATACTAATCGAAGAGAAATATATTCAACCGATTTTTCACACTCTGTCAATAAAGTCGAGAAAGAAACTCCATCGAATACTACTGATTTGAAAGCTTTTTCTTCAGCAAAATATTTTTGGTGTGTTGTTGGCTTGATTGTAATTTCTTTGCTGATATTCGTATTAATGTATATATGTTATGTCAAATGTAGTAAGAGAAAAGAAAAATCTTATGGCATGATAAACATATCCGCACCAAAAATGCCTTTACCGGTACCGGAAAGTCATCCGTTAACGAACTATCGTAGTCCTTCGCCAGAACATGTTTATGAAACCGTTATATATCCAAGCACACGTGAGTATAGTTTAGTTTATTTAATCGTAGTAATGTTTGTTATTATTATTATACAGGCGATTATCAAAATGCAAGGCACAACAAATTAACAACAAGCACCTCAGATTATTTTCGCGGATATGAAAAACCACGTATGTTTCCAGTTTAGTAACATATAAAGCTGTTTGTTATTATTATAGTTTTAATTACTTTTATAAAAAATACATTCTTCTTAACCAACTTAAGGTTATTATTATTACAAAGCATTAATTCGTAATGTATATAATAACATAGGTGTCTTAAAATAATAGTAGATTTATATTAAAATATGTCTTAAATTAACCCTGCAACACTAAACATAAAATAATAATAAATAATAACCATACAATAATTATGTCGAGATGTTTGATAAATTGAAGAAACTTTAAACGGCTCGTAAAATATTCGATTTTGATAATAATAAATAAAGATCTTCTGGAAGCTGAATGTATCAAAAGTTTCATATTATAGGGATATCAGGGATCTGATATTTCAATATACGGAAGTTCTTTTTCCTTTGCTAATAAAGTATAGGATTCTACTAACCTGGACGGATTTGATCGATATTGCTGTTCGTTAGAAAGAACGTTGGGTGAATTGTGAAACATATGTGTATGTGGTTTTTTAGCGACAATTGGGGCTGTAAACGTTTGCGATCTTTGGTAATATCTAATGTTCTCGTAAACTAGCTAAAATGTCTTTAAAGCTTGATTTAAGAAAAAACGCGTTTACTGCCTCTTTGTTGCGGCGTTACATTTTAAGTCAATGTAATTACAGATCGTATTAACTAAATGAGTTACTCGTTCGTGAAATTGAGAAGGTGTTTCGTTAGGTTTTTGCCTCAAATTAACCAAATCTTGATTTAAACAATTTTCATCGCGTTGATCTCCGAAATTTTGAATAGCTACTACTTCTTCTGCTCTACCTTCTAATTTATTTAATATGCTATTAAGCAATAGAACATTCTGAAAATTACCTACATTTACTGTATCGCAAGCGTTTTTCTAACGGTCGTCCGCCAGGGCGCCACCTAACAATTAAAATGTAGACCTAAAACTAGAACTAACACTAGAAACTTTCGGGTTTTTCCTTGTGTCTCTTAAGAAAAGGTTTGACGTTTCTTATGCCGTGTTGCAACCTTCTTCAGAAACTGGTTCGAAGTGACGAACTCGAAAATCGGGAACAATATACAGAGTGATTCAAAAAACCGCTGACAGACTTCTAGAGTAGATAATACATGACAAATTAAGATGAATAGTCTTAATATACATGGGGTTACAAATGCCTCCTTAACGAGATATAGCTTATATGATATAGTTTCTTTAAAATTAAACATTATCTGCAATAAAAAGCAGACAAATGATTTTTTTCTGTAAACTCATTTGTTAGATTTAATACAACCCTTTCGCCTAAATTTGTCTGTACTATACCATGTTCCGATTTTCCAGTATATATTTCAAATTTATGGCAGTACCCACTTTTATCGGCCAACATCCAAACTTTGTAGCCCCTTTTTACGGGCTTTTTGGGCATATATTGTTTTATAGAACTTCTGCCCTTGAATTTGATCATAGATTCGTCCAGAGCTAGTTCTTTTGTGGGTGCCATACATTTTGCAAAATTTTCTGAAATATCTCTTAGCAACGGTCGTACTTTGTACAATTTATCATAACCATCTTGGTTTTTTTTGGGCATCAAAGTATTATCATTCATATGCAAATTGGTAAGAAACCAACTGAACCTTTTTACAGTCATTAATTGACTTATGTAGGGATCATGAAGATCAGGAGCACTCGAGCACCAGTGGTCTCTATGGGTAGGTAGTGATTTTATTCCCATCAATAAATTTATCCCTACAAAACTCTTCATCTCTGAGAGATTAGTTGGTGAATATTTGCTTATACCTTGCTGGCAATATAAATTTGTTTGGAATACAAGGTTTTGAATTAAGTCGTCAGTGAAAAATAGTTGAAATAATTTGTACGGAGTCGGATCTTCCATATCTTTGATAAAATCTGGCACACCAGAATGGGAATCAAAACAAGGCGGATGAGTGATGGTTTCGGTTTTTGACCATTTTATTGGTGCATTTCTGATTGTTACCCATCTAGACAGTGGAATGTCGTCTTCAGAGTCGAAACCACCATTATCGTCAGAATCCACTTTAGTATCTTCCACAATTTCTATCTCACAATCTTCGTCATTATCTAGATCGCTATCCTCATCTGAAATAATGGAACCCCGATCAGATGGTATTTCTGCTACCTCATCTAAACATCTCTCCATCTCTTCATGTAATTCCTTTAGAGTCATATTGACAACATTGAAGGGCAAAGACATAGCTTTCACTGGAAAAAAAAGTCACAAATGCTCTTTTGCAATTTAAACTTTTTAAAAAATAACGAAAATAATGTATAGAACAATAAAAATGTCAATCTTCAAAATCTTAAAATTTTCATGATAAAAGTCAAGATAGTTCTAAGTAAAGTTGTAAGGTGGTCTAAAATTTAAACCACCTTAAAAAATCCTGAGTTATTTATTTACGACGAAAATATATGTAAATTCGTATTTTTTAATAATAATCAAACTATAAATGAACTAAATTACCAGTATTATACAACAAAAATGCGGAAATAACTTACCTTTTCAGAAATTCAGAAAGCACTTGGTACAAAAACATTTGAAAATGTGAGGTTATGTTATATGTTCACGTACCACTTTTAAATTCGATTTGTAGTTTGCCTACTATCCACTAGAGGACTCTACGCAGATGATTTTGTTATATTGTGTCGACTATGTTTGCGGCCATGAAATTTAATCTAGGTGGTCTAAAATTTGCACTACCGCCCTTATACGATGTTTTATTTGGTGGTTCAAATTTTAATCCACCGCCCCTGAAAGAGGTATAAGTCGGAAAACTAATTAATAATCAATTAAAGCTAATTACCAGCTAATTATTAACTAATTGCGTCGCGTCCGGTGTGAGGCGGGAGGAGGTCTTCGTGTTCACCTCCATCTTCCATGTTCTGCTAAGCTCCCAGCCATCCCCTCTGTTGACGTTATTTCTATGTCGGTAGATCTCTATGGCTTCTCTTGTCAGTCGCTGGTAATATATATCTGTCCTTGCCAGCACCTTTGTTCGAAGTCTATTCGGTGTCCCTCTGCATGGCAATGTTCCGCAACCGCCGACTGCTGGATCTTCTTCAACCTTACATCCCTTTCATGCTCCTTGATGCGGCACTCGACGTTACGTCCAGTTTGGCCAACGTAAACCTTCCCAAAACTACACGATAGTCGGTAGACTCCCGCTCCTTTTAATGGAGTTAGTTTGTCCTTGGCTATCGGGAGTGTATTCCGGATTTTGCTGACCGTCCCGTACAACACTATGGTGCCGTTCTTCTTGAGGTGTCTGACAATTCGTTCCGTTACACCTGAAACATAGGGAAGACAGATAAATCCAAAAGGTTTCGTACTTACCGTATCCTCCCTCTGCTTTCGTTGCTTGATGGCCCGGTTGATGTCCCTCGAAGTGTATGCGTTCTTCTGCAGTACGCCTCGTAGAAAGTGTTGCTCCTTCCTCAAGTTATCTCTTTCACATACTCTATAGATATATTTCTTAAATTATATGGGCATTTAACTTCTATGATGGAATTGTTGCTATGGATTACCCCATTTGGACTGGCTCCTAAAAAATAAAAGTTTCCTTGACCTACATATAAACCACATGGATCTACATGTAGGCCAGAAACATTTTGAAAAGCTTCTATTGCTGCGTTTTCATATTGACAACCATATTCGGTGGCTTTGTTTCCTCGAAAACTATTTCCTAATAGGCATTTTAAAAGATTGTTCGGTGGTGCTGATGCTTTTCTTTTGCACACTACTCCAAAACTTGAAGCTGTTAATCTATACAACCTTTCTTGTCTTCAACAAGGATTACTATATTGACCTCTAGTTCGTACTTCTATTATATCTGCTTCTTCTTTTGTTTCTTTCAATAAATTGAACATAACTTCTTTTCTTCTATGAATTTCTTCTTGTGGTGGTAATTCAACAACATCTCCAGAGTCGCTGGCCGCTTGTAGTGCAACTGGTCGGCCCTATTACGTTTTTTCCCTTACTGCGTCTTTCGCCGTTTCATCAACGTTTTATATTTTTGTTCACAACACTTTTCAGTGTAGTGTCCTAATTTCTTTCCCATATTTTCTGCAATTACTTTAAATAATGCTCACGACAATTGAAGAGAATTGCTACAATGTGACACCGTAGTTGGTAGGATCCCCCTAAAGAGAAATTGACCTGCAAAACTGAACATTAAAAAAGGAAAATAGTAATGATATTTACATACTCGTTTACCACCAATAAATTTATTTACTAAACTATTGAACTCCTCGGCGCTATTATTATTTTTATTCAGCAAACAAGATGAAGAATTAGATATAATTCGTTGCAAACAGTTGTTGATATCTGCTTCTAAACCGCATTCCTTTACGTTTGCAAATATATTATCTACGCCATTTACTTTATTACGAAAGTACAGGGCACAGTTTTGGTGATCTCCAAATATATGGGATTGAATAGTTGATAAATCTTTTTGAAATAATAAAAGTTTTTGTTCATATGGAATTTTGTCCATTTCTATATTAGGCAGATTTTTTTATAATTACCCAAAATCTTAATGCACTGTAGCTTTCTTCGAAGTTGTATTGGAACGAATCTTCCACTAGTGCTACACACTTTTTTAGAAAGTTCAACCAATTTATTACTAAAATTCCGTAATAAATGATTGATGCATTCTACTTTTTCTATTAAACATGTCCCGTAGGGTTTAATGGAATTTAACTTTTTTGTGACACTACTGTCCCCCGCGCCTATTAATTTTATATATTTCAGGCCATGTACACCCACGCTATTTTTAAATCCCTCAAAAATAATGCCCGATCCCATTACGGTGGACGGGCCAGACCAATTTTTAAAACATTTGTGTGTACGTCGGTTGGTAGAAGGTTCTGTGCAAATCCTGCAATATCTATTGCGTATTCCTATGTACAGAATTTTCTTTTGTTGCTTCTCCTATGATGACACTCACGCCTGATGCTACGTTATAATTCGTTCGATATGAACGCTTTG